CCGCCCCGCCCTTCTCCCCCCCCCCCCCCACAACAGCTCGGCCAGAAGCTGGTGGCGCGCTACGAAAAGCGCATCGACTGGTGGGTGCGCTGCTTCCTGCTGGGCCTGGACAACCCCTTCAACGCCGTCAGTCATAACAGGAATGTCGGCCCGCATGCAGCATCGTTCGCGGGGACTCGAACGCCACGATCTGCCGGCAAGCAGGCGCCCATGCATCGCGGTTGAACAAGACGGGTGGCCGCGCCGGCGCCTGGCAGAGCCCAGGATGGGCGCGGTTCGATTTTGGGCTGGTATCGTCACGATACCCTCCCCCCCAAGCACGGTGCTTGGGGTTGGGCGTGTGGGCAAGCAGTGTTTGGCAGGTCTCCAGCCATATGACACGCACAGCGGGCATGCAGGTATATGCGGGGGGAGCAAGCAGGGACGGTTGCCGCTTGACAGAGGAACTCTTGGGGTGCAATCGCACACAATGAACGATCTGCTGTTGTCCACATGCACCGTATTTCTTTGCGCGGCACGTAGAACAAAGGGCGCCACCGTTGGCATCACGCGCCGGCCCTCTGGCCAATTTGCGGGAATGTAACAAACATGGTGGTTGCGCCTGATCAAGCAACCCACTGAATTGCAGTTGCAGGCAGGCGCAGCAGAAAATCAAAAAAGGCGCAGCTGCTGCTAGCCATTCAAACTACGCGAGCAGCCGGCCGTATGCAAATCAGCTCAAGGCGAGCCGTCACCAAGGCTGTTGCTGCAGCTTCCATGCGCCCATGCGCTGGCCTGGTGGCCCCTGGAAGGCCAGCACGCAGGGGTGCGGGTCGGATGCAAGGCCCTGACATACCTCTGTCTCCTGGAGCACGAAACGGGTGCGCTTGGGTCGCCGAACACACAAGCATACAGGTCGTGAAGGCCACGGCCGCCTCGAATGCCACAAGGGTTGTACATTCCCGTGCAGCAAGTGCGCTCGGCCGCAACTGCACCAAGCACAGGCAGGCAACCCCCCTGTCGCAGCATGGGTGCAAGGACCGCGGCGCCACTAGCTAGCCCACCAGCTGAGCCGCAACACCACGGGCCTCAATGCATTACCAAGGTGGGAAAGCCGTGGCGCTACAGCATCAGCAAAGCATCACATGCGGCAGCTCATGCGCCACATGCAGGTATGGCTGCATAGAGCGCATGCATGCAAATGCTGCTCGTCTGGTGGGACGCATGGGCTCCGTCTCCTCCGCATGCGTCAACCCTTGCACGCCGCCCTTGCATGCTGTCCTGCACGCCTCCATGCCCAACAGCCCCGTCAAAGCCATCCAGAAGTAGCCGCGCAACTCGCGTGTGCTTGTCCCTCACGAGCTGCGACACGACTGGCCCCAGTTGGTGGTCTTTCAAACGAGCTGTCACAAAAGTCAACCACGCTGTGCAAGCGCGCGCATGAGTGCTTGCCGCAGCGCCGTCATCCAGATCAGAGCCGGCAGCAGCCACTGCATGGCCGCTGCTCGCGCGAGTGCGAGCCGTCGCGCACGTACAGGCACAGTGTGCTGCTGGCTCGCTCCGGCGCGAGCGGCACAGGCAATGCCGAATGCAACTGCTTGTCCGGGCGCTGCTGGGAGTGGTGCGGCTCTTCATCATCGTACTGGTCTGATCCGCTCAGCCCAGACGGCTCCCTGCAAGGCGCTGCGCTACATCGTGTCCCCCAGGCATCCTCCGCACCCGCCCCTGCGCGCGCCGCTGCCGCTCGCGCGGGCGCGGCTGCTGTCGCTGACTGGCGACGGCAGCCCAGATCCGCTCCGCTGCGCGCTGCGCCGAGCTGGTGCCGCAGGCTGTCGTTGATGTTGTAACGGGCCTGGACATTATGCCTGCATTCAGTCAGCTGCTCCTCCAGAAAATCGCCGAGCGGTGCAGCGTGGCGATGCTTTCTGGCGGCGTGCCCAGCGGCAGGTGTGGGCGCGTTTGCGAGCCGCTGCGTGGCAACCCGGAAGCGCACTCGCGCCGTCCCCGAGTTCTGTCCCGTATTTCGAGCTCTTCTTCATCGAGCTCGTTCATAAGCTGCTCCACTTCGCTGCAGATCGTGTGAAGCAGAATCGGGGCAGTTGCATACCGCAACATTTGTGGCTTGGAGCGTGCACAACCATGGTATATCCTACTGATTATATGTATCACGCAACAACATCGTGCTCCGCAATCTGCACTCTTGACATGGCCAGCTCACATTGACCTGCGCAGCTCGAACTGTACTGCTGCAGTGCTAGCTGCGTGCCATGCAACACAGGCAGTTGTACGCCTGTGTGCGGTGTGTCGCCCACCTGGCATGCCGCTTGATGCAACTCTCACAATTCAGTGACCATGACATAGTACGCAGCATTGTTCGCTTGCATAGATGTTACCTCCACTTGCCTTCAGGATGCAGCAGGCAGTGTTTGCCACACTGGGGCAGCGGGGAAAAGGGCGCTTGCCCTGAAACCCGCGCCCGTCCTTAAACTGATTGGGTGCCCAGCGCCCGGTCCGCTCTACTCTACCCTACTCAGTATTCGCCACCGCAGCGAACAACACGCGAGCGAGTTGGGGCCCCAAACTGCGATACGCCGCCGATGCTCAAGCACACCCAACGTGCTTGCACGTCTGCCTCGCCCACAGTAAGCGTGGCGCCCAGGACCCGCTGGGCGACGACTACGCCAAAGCGCGCCCACGTGCCACCCTGCAGAACCATCCCTGCAGAACAGCCCCGGCACAACCCCTCCCACCCCCCCCTACAGATCTGCCCCTGCAGAGACACCGCTGCAGATTAGCCCCTGCAGATAGAATCACCCCTGCAGAACCATTCCTGCAGACGCATCCCTGTAGAGACGCCCCTGCAGAACCACCCTGTTACAATCACCCCTGCAGACCCGCCCCTGCAGAAACACCACTGCGCAGATTTGCTCCAGCAGAATCACCACTGCAGAAGCACCCCTGTTGAACCGCCCCTGCAGCACCGCCCCTGCGGAAACATCCTTGCAGAAACACCGCTGCAGAAACATCCCTAACGAAGCGCCCCTGCCGATCCACCTAACTTGTTTGCCTGCACGTGAGCTGGGCAGAGCGCCACCTGGCTGCCGCGTGTTTTTTGTGAGGGAGCCGTACAAAGCTCCCCCACCCCAGCGACTGGATTTCAAGGTGGGTGTTGGCGTAGCACATGGCGCCATCGTTTACCGAGGGTTGTGCAGAGGTGGTATCTGTCTCCAGAGACAGCACAGACGGCAAGTGTGGCAACCAGCGCTACGCACAGAGCGTGTGGGGCATCCCTGCGCATACGCGTGCGTGGCAGAAGCTAGGATACACCTTGAATCTCTATGATATGTGCAGTTATTGTTCTGAACAAGGATGTCAGGAGAGCCTGGCCGGCACCCCGTGCGCACGTCACAGGGAGCGCGTGTGGCGTGCGGGGTTCGGGGTCCCTGCAGGTGCGTGCCGTTCCGCCCGCACGGCCCCTCAGGCTGAGCTGGCAGCCACCCGTGAGAGCCACGGCCAGCTGTCGTGCACCCAGCTGCTGCGGTGACCATACCACCTGCACCCCCCCTGCCCAAGCCCCAGCTTCCCGCTGAGGCCGCTGGAGAAGTGCGTTGACTGCTGGGCAGGTCCTGTGACAGCTGTCTTTCTGTCTGTCACCCGTAGCTTGCACGAGTGGCGATGCGGCTGGCAGTGCGGCCTTCCCTCTCACCAGACAGGCACCACCACCCACCAACAGGCTCCTGGCACAAAGATTGTGGTGTAAAATCTGGATGACATGCCAAGTTGGATTTCAGGGTGGGTGTTGGTATCGCACATGTTCGCCACGTGTGATTTGTCAAGTGACCCCAAGTCCATCAACAGAACGGCCAGCACTCTTGAGGCCGACCATGGTAGCACGTGCTCAGCCTGACGAGAGGTGTGTTGTGCCGTACTGGTATTCGCACTGACAAGTTCACTGGGCTCCCGGAATCGCTTTCCGAGATCTCAGGTTTAGGTGCGTGTCCGACGGGACAAGGGAACAAGTGACCCGGGATCGCGTTGGAGTGGTTATTGCAAGCAAATTCATGCAGGCTCTGCATGGCTGTGACGGCGTGCCGCACGCCAGCTCTGGCCGGCCAGCCCCGTGATGCGGGTGTGTCAGCCCAGGTCCAGGGCACATGGGCCCTTGCCCCCCATTCTAAGCTTCTGGACACCCCCCGCAAATCATCATCACGTCGCCGCGGCGCGCGGCCCAGGGGCCGCACCGGCGCACATTGCAGCTGACTGTCATGATTGCCTCATGGCGCACGCCGCGGCCCGCCTGCGGGACGGTGGGCCAGAGGGTGGGCACGGCTGGCGGCCGCGGGCTGGTCAGCCGCGCAGTTGCTGGAACGGGCAGGCCCAGGGTCCTGGCACAAGCGGCTCGAACGCCAGGTGAGTGGACTCGACTCTCGCGCACGTGCCCCCCCTCCTCCCCTGTCAGCAGCCCTGGGGCACCACGCTGCTGAGTCACGCCCCGGACCCTCACACGTATCCGAACGCACCGAACGCTCTCACCCTCACTCCCCTCCTGCCTGTGCAGTCGTCATTAAGCCGGCCGACCTGACCGTCAGCAGCAGGTACAAGCGCCTGCTAAGCCTGGACGGCGGCGGCCTGCGCGGCCTCGTGTCATGTGAGAACCAGCCGCAGCCGCGGCCCCGGGCTGCTAGGCGTGCCTTCAGCTAAGGCCCGGGCGATAGGGCGGGCAGGCCGCCTGCCCGTGCTACCCCACGGCGGCCAGTCTTGTGGCAGCTGCGGTACTATTCAGCGGGCCTGGCGCCGTCCAACCC